CATCTGCTGATGTGAGTATAAAAAGGGGAGATCGACAAGAACAATGAGAGCAAGAAAACGCATGTTAACTGCAAACTCGGATTGAATGAGGCCGTTTATGTGATACATTAAAAGTGCTACAGCTCCCATGCTTTTATGCAATTCGGTTTGGGTGGACAATTCAAAACTGAATAAATTGTAAATTGAAATGAAAAAAAGTTTGTTTTAAATTAAAACATTATATTCATTTAGGATTCATATAGAACATATTCATGTAGAAATAAAGCATTATTGAAATTCATTGTTTGTGTGCTTTGATACTTAGACAGGCACAGTCGGATACGTTTCTGGTCCTGCACTGTAGAAATTATCTTTAATTGGCTTAATTTACCCTGAACGATCTAAATGTAACGGTTATTCTTTGCAAATGGTAATTCATCAGGACAATTTCTAAATTTATCTCTAAAATATTTTGTTCAAATAAGTAAAAACAGGTATGAAACAATATCATTTCAACAAATTTTGTTAATAGTGTCATACGAGAAATGCTAATTAGTTTAAAAACAACTTAATTTGAAAAACATCATGGCCTTATAATAGGAATTGTAAATCAAATTGGATCCAAAATTGAATTATAACGGAATCTTGAAAAAATATAAGTTTAAATCCCTACTTTTAAACTAAAAAAAAATAAAGAAGTATTTTGGTACAAAAAAAACATTTCAATTTTCCCCCACAACGAACCATAAATTTTCTCTAATTTCGATTATTAAAGTAATGAGTGTTTAATTAAAACCACAGTCGTTTTTTAGTTTCTTAACCAAAAAGTTTGTTTACAGGTAAAAAGAAAGTGAAACTAATATGTCCCCCCTTTTGGGGCATAAAAAGAATCATGATGTCTTTTTTAAGGGATTAACTATATCAGGGGGTCCATTAGTGGAAGTTAAAAATCATTTCTTTTTTTTGGGGTTGTAACTTCTAGAAAAATAACCTTTTTTCTTTAACTTTAAATTGCTTCAAAGTCAGAAAAATTTTAAACTCTGAAAAACCCAAAATTTGAAACCTAATGAAAATCATGCAAGCTACTTTCCACCAAATTTGTCAACTTTATTTTATGCCGATGTTATTACACAGCACTTAAAATTATTATTTTAAAAAAAATTTTCTGTAAAAAATTTACACTCTTAAAACATTTAAATTATTTATTTTTTTTTTTTGTAAAAGGGTGCAGCTGCTTGGAATGTAAAACTGCAATAACCTTTCCCAACGAATTTAGTGTTTTAAAAATCTACAGCAAAAAAAAAATTAAGGGTCGCAAGACTTACAACAAAAACTACACAAATAGGTTGCAGTTCAAGAAAAACGGGTGACTATAAGTTTTACTGTTTTTTTTTTTTTGGGAAGTTAAAATATATACATCTTTAGTCCAATTCTGATTTTCCCCAAAATAAAAACCAAAGAAAAAAAGTTTTTCAGCACTCAAAGAATTCCACACTTTCCCACTTTTCATTTTGATCCATCGTATAGGGGACCAAAGGAATCCTAAAATATTAAAATTAAATTTGCTGTCTGAATAAAAATTTTTTCTGTTCTATTTTTAATTTGTATGATATAAAAAAACCCGTGTAACAGGTAAATACAAACATTTGCTATACAAAGTTAAATAGCTAGGTTATTATTTTTTCAAATTCTTGTTTGCTTGTGTACCTTGAAGGACCAAACCCCTTCCGTCTAATGGATAAAAATAATACGCAAATTAGTTTGTTGTATCAAAAGTAGTGGTTAAAAAAAACGGAAACCCCCAAAATCCCTCTGAAGCATTAATCACAACAAAAATTTCATAAGAATTTTCAGAAATCGGTTTTATTGAGTCCCGTACGTGAGGGGTTTAAAGAATAAGTTAACAAATTTCCCCCCACGCCCCCTAAGCACCGGGGTTGACGGGACTCAAATTTTCCAAAAAAATTAATAGTGCTGGCATCCCCAAAGATCACGAAGGACCAGAAAAAAAATATATCAATCTGGAAACAAAATTTTAAACCCCTTGGGAAGGGATTAATCACAAAAAAAATTAAAGAGAAAATTTCAGCTCGGTTTGATTGAATCCCGTAAAAGAAAGGGGGTGAAGTACGGGGAAAAAATATGGGCATAATCCCAAAAAGCAAAAATGCAGTCAATGAACCAAAATCCCCAAAAATCAAGCAGCCCAAAACCCCGGACCATTTGCATTAAAACAGCAGCTTGACACCGAATAAAAACAGAAGAACTTTAAGAAATGATAAAATTTTAACTTGAAAGATTGCTTGAAGCAAACAAGTTGATACTAACGAAAATTCAGTGTTCCATAGGGACACCTTCCTGCACCAATATAGCTGGGGGAAATTACCCAAAAGGAAACCCATATAACCCAACACGAATTATAACCTTAAAAGCAATTATTATACAAACAGACCAAAAATTTAAATACAAACCGGATTCAGTAGGATCCCTCAAAAAATTTTGGCACCCGTCAAAGATTGATCTTTTTGAAAAATTCTCACCATCTGTCGCTTTATGTTTTTGAGGGGGTTTTTGAAAACCCATCTCTTTGGGATTCACGAAACCGCTGGTACGGGGGTGCCATGTACCGTGTAGCATCCGGTACAATTGGTTGTGAAAGCAGTCTGTAAACATGTAAAAGGTAAGCTATTTCAATAGGCAAAAACTGTACACAAACTGATTGTTTTGGAAGATGTGTTTCAATGTTTTGTTACATCTTTCGAATAAAAATTTTAACATTTTGCTTAATTGTCGCTACCAATGAACAAAATAATTAATGAATTTCAAATTGGTTAATATAGACCTAACATTTTAGAAAAATTGGTATGCTTTTAAGAACTCAGATTCATATACCAAATATATTCTATACATCACACATAGTCGAAACTCCTAATTCATTTAATTTTGTAGTATTGGAAACTTCCAATATGCCTACCTGAATAATGTTGTAATCACCCTTAGGTATGTTGGCCTGACTTTTTAAATTTGTCTTTTGACGTCTTATCTGTTATACGCAGGTTCATAACCTCGATCCCCTTTCAAAATTCCATTTTTATTTAGTTCCGCCCATGTTTTCTCGTTATAGGGCACATGCTTTTTATTACTTGGGCGACCATACGCCGCTTTCATGGAATGGCACGGAAAGTGTCACATGAAGGTTCCAGGATAACCGCCGTATGAAACATCTGCGGCATGTTTCTAAAATTCAAAAATTTTACTATTTTTCACGTTTAAATGTTATGAATTCTGCTTAAGCCGGTGGGGGCTAGGGGGGGGTGGACGGTCAACTATGCATCTTGTCCAGTAACCCGATCCAATTGAACAGGTCAATCAAACGAGCCTTGCAAACATTTCACATTTTGCCGTGTTGGGCTTTCTTAGCGGATTCTGTACTAATCTATTTATACTTCCATGATCATAGATAAGAATCAACAAATCCTTTATTCGTACGGTTCAAATGTAGGGAAAAGTTTCAAAGTTTAAGGCATACACTTCAGCATTTAAACAAATACCAAACCTTTAATTTGACAGGCAAACATTTCTTCGCATTTTAGGCCACTAATTTGGGCACTGACCACCTCAAACCTATTACTATTGCTTTCACAAATCTGCTTGTCTGATGCACCACTAAACCTGTCTTCTTCAGTGATTAGATAACAATCGTGCGTGTCATCTAAAATTCATGAATTAAACTTAAAGGTTTTATTTTTTGCCCAAGAAAAGCTGTATCTTTATATCTCAAAAGCTGTTCATTTTTGGTGTCCGGTTAAAGTTACTAATTGGCCAACTAGCTAAACTACATTTTGCTTCTGCCGCTTTTTGACAATTTGTACAATTAGATAGTGATTTAGTATTTTGTATGGAAGTCAAATTAATGATTTGCTATTTTTATGACATCTTCAGCTGAAATGCATCTAACTTGCTCTAAAGCAATTATACAAACTTTATAAAGCACATGTATGTGCTTTCTAAAGAAGAAATAATTCTATTCTAAGGCACAATGCGTATCTTACGGGTATGTTTGATTGACAAAGTCGATATGGCATTTAAAGATCTTGATATAAGTTGTTAAAATTGTTAGTTGATTGTACTGTGGCATTAATAAGATGAGATTCAATCATTTACTGAAAACTTCTTACACTCTTCGTTTCAATATAAATGAGTTTCTTAAATAAATCCACATATTGTTGTAAAAAGCAGGTGTTATGTAACACAAAAAAGCTTCAATCGATTAGAAACAAATTCCGTAACAAGATAAAATTTAGTTTTTTTCTTCATGATACTTGTTATTTCATAAAATCGTAAAATGGTTTATTTAATGAGTATATTGGTGTGTACTGAATTAACCATGATATTGGTTGAATAAACCTAGAGATTAGATATATATTACAAATTCATCATACTGTTTCTTTCCGGCTCTTCACACCATGGAATCCCACATCCTTCCCAACGTTTGTTAGGATCAGTCGTATAACACCAAAGATATCCTAAAATAACACATATGTACGTAAAAATAATTCGACCGAAATACGATTTTTTTTAAAAACAATGAATTAAACATATTACTTACAGCCTAGCTGCGTGAAATGTGTGCTTGCAACATTTTGTTCTTAATGCTCATTTTTTTCTGTTGACAAATTAACGTTAGATTTCTTTTGGCATAAAACCTAATCTCGAGATTATTAAAGAATATGTCATGTTTATTATTATCCCGTTGAAAGAATCACTATGCTAAATTGAAAAAAAAAATGAAAACGTTGACTTGCTTGTGTTTAATTCCATCATGATATGTAATATACAACATACCGTCATCTCCGGGTCTCTGCGAGTAATTTCTAGCTTGGCAAAATGAACAATCTTAGAATGGTGAGTTCTTTATAGTGGCGTTCGTTGGATTTTTTGGACTATCCCATCGGCTGGCATTGTTAACACCGGAAACTGTCGTTTTTCTATCTTCCAATAAATTCTTGTGCCCGCACCGCCTAAAGCACTTCTGAAAAGTACGTCATGTTAAAAAAATACATCTGGAGCTTACGTATTCAATGTATGTTACTGCCACAATGAAGTATAGAGCAACAGTTGTGCATTATTCAAAAACATGTTTACAGCAGGTAGAATTTCTGAAAACTTTTCCGTTATGTCTGCTGCTACTTCATAGCTACTTAATGATAGATTTCAATTAAAAATTATTGTATAGAAACAGAAAATACCATTGATACAAGTTCCGGCTTTGTGCGTTCATGACAGCAATATGGTACAGAAAGAGAGAATGTTTTCTTAAGTAAGAAGGAGCAGCTCTTCTCTTATTTCTGATATTTTTAGGTTGAAATAAGCCTTACATAGCCTGAGATTCTACTTGTTCGGGAATGCTTTCACTATATGTCATCCGGCCTTGTTAATCTTTGTTTCATCTGCCTGGACGATTTTGAATAATTTTAGTTCATGTCCAAACGTTTTTTTTTCTTAAAAACCTACCTTGTTTGTCATTCTTTGAGTTTGTCCGGCTTAAAGCTTGCTTTAATTGGCTGACCTCAGATCTTGTATCGTTCATACTTCTAAAAATCATAACTTCAGTGTTTTCCTTCAGACTTTTAAATTTCTCACTCCAATATTTTGCAAATTTCCTTTGCGAGTCACCGTCAGCAATTTTGATGCTAGTCTCGGTCCATAATTCGTCCACTTTCTCTTCTAAAATTGCAATTTTGCGTTCAAAGGAAGATGTCATTTCTATTCTATTTTGTCTCTCAGACAGTAGGTCTTGAAGGGTTGAGTAAAGTTTCTTTTCCAGGAATCCAGCACGCCTTTTTAGTTCTTTTAACTGATCTGAAAACAGATATTTTGACCATTTATGCCAGCAACAGTGAAGAAATTATTGTTATTGTTGTCTTGATCAACTATGATAATTACTTGATTGTGCTATCAGTATGGTAGTCATCGAAAATCGTGTATTAAATGACATGTTTTGTGACTACTGAAACTTCTTTACACTTTCACTTTTCACAATGCAAAATACGAGTAAAGTCACTGTCGTTAAACAAATTGTATCTCATGCTTAAGATAAACAGGAAACAGAAACTAAATAGGAATCAAGGTCTATTGTTACAGTAAGTTAGAATGTTTCTATGATAATTATATGAATGACGGTTTGTAAGCGATTGATTACCATAATGCTTCTTACGGCAATATATTGTCGATATTAATTTTACATCCAACACAGTCTAAGCACAAAAAACATTACATACAAATTTCCTGTGTCGGATGGGATCTTAATTTCTCAAAAACAAGACAAAATGATAAAAAAATAAAATAAACAAAAATTTGAGCGTTTTTTTCTATCGTGATTTCAGTAGTCATTTATTTTAGAAGAACAGAACTGTATAATAAATAGGGACAAGTGGCTTTAACAAATCAATGCTTTATGTTTTAAGTTATATAACTATATTTGCCAGCATGCATTATTAAGGAATGTTTTTATAAATAGATAATAATTTAAAATATTCTATGATAATGTATATACGTATATGTGTCAGTGTTCACAATTGGTCAAAACACAGTCAAAAAAATTGCAGACGCAAACATTGATGCGGATAGTCTTTAAAACAACAAAGTTTAACCTACAAAATATTAATAACATAGCTTGCAAGTATTTCTGAAATTACAAATGATTTGTGATGAATTTGAAAGAAATAAGAAATAATAAGACATTTGTATTAATCGAAGGTGTGTATAATAAAAAATAATGTCGGTAAACTTACTTTAGAAAATAAATTGCATACATCTCAATATAATTGTTGTTTCTCTTGGAAAAACGAAACATTGAAAGCTGTAAAAAATAACCTTCATGTAACATGCACTTGATGAGACTTGATTTTTAGAACATAACGTTGACATGAATGTAAAAAAAGATATTGACAAGAAAAAAATATGCGTTATAAATGAATTGCTATCAAATTCTTAAGTTCATTTACCCAACGTTAAATTGTTTTATAATAAACATATATGATTTTTTTGTTTTCATTTCATCATTTCGTTTCAAGAAATTACGTACACCATTAGGCAGCGGATACAAATTAAATATTTAAAGACATATATTTTTATCTATTTTCAATATAATTATATATTTTTTGTGGTATTTGCATTGCCAATTCTACATGTTAACATATTTCGCATGTCATAATCATCGCGGTTTTTCTCCAGATATTAGTGGAACAAAAACAAGAACAATTTAAATATAATTATAATAAATATATAAATTTCTATAATACAATTCTCATTAAATAAATATACCTTTCATAGCAGCCGTGTCTGAAGGAAATGATTCCATTGCTAAGGTCAGTCTTTGCAACCGTGAATTTGTCCTTGCAAACTCTAATCTCAAGTCTTGCAATTCATCCCTTACGATATCTTTTATAGATCCCTCACTGGAATCATCACTTTGAATAATCCATACATTCAAAAATAAAATGAAAATTTGAAATGAAAACATTTTAAAAGTTCATAAGTTCCAGTAACGACTTTGTCAGCTCTCTACTGTTTACTCTAGCTTACAACAACATTGCCTGCAACTTTCTGTTTATATTCATGCCTTTGTAATCAGATAAAAAATCTACGTCCTAATTATTTAATTCATTCCAGACATTGTGTAATTTACTTTTTATCTATCTTTCATCTTGATTGTTGGGGTCTAAATGGATGAATGAATGCGTATTACTATAATGTATTTGGCAGGTAGTTAAATTATTTTATAGATAGAGACAGGATGTTTTTAATGTGCAGTTATTTATAGACAACCTGTTCACATATGGGTCAGTAAACAAGTTTAAAATGTTTTTGCACCAACGATATAAGTCAATGTACACATCAAAAGAAGCAGTTTCTCATGTTATTTGTTTATAGTAATTTCATTGTTAAATAAAAGTTGTTTGTTTTTTTTGGTATTCTAATATATAAACAACTGTTTTAGCGTCATCCAATATGAATAAAAGTAGAATGGGGAGCAGCTGCCTTGTGGTTAAGGCCTCTCAACCCGTGGATCATGGGAACGAGTCGTAATCGAGTCACGACAATGTTTTTTTCATAATGACACCACTACTGGTTGGTTCCAGAAAGCGGACTCGAAAGTGATTAATATAAATTGAACAATCGAGCTTAAGGTAGCTCGCTACTTTCCGACCGAAATTTGACAACATCTCAGATCTTGATGATTTTTGGTATACAAACATGTAGATATGTAAGCTTTACTTCTGCAGCATTATTTTACAAATAAACAGCATTACTATGACGTCAAAGCGCCCTCTATCGGTGGCGGCGAAATTGCGTCTTTTTATCAATAAACCGGTCTGTTCTTATCAATTTTCATCCGATTTCCGTCGTTTTAATTTTATAATGTTCAGTAAATGTATGTCTTTGAAATGATGTCTTTCTTTAACATTTGCTTAATACTATGCCTTTCTACGTTATTTTAACCCACGTTCTGACGTCCAATTATGATGCAAATATCGCGCGATATCGCAATAAAGATTGTGAAATAACAAAAAATCAACACGGTGAATTTTGCTATAATTTTTTAAACATGTAGTAAAGTCATGAAAGAAAATATTTATGCAATAAAAATATAGGGTCAACGCGTAAGATATTTTGCTATTACTATTTAAATATAAAATAAAGGGTAAGTAAAACGTAATGATTTTGGTGACGTCAAATATTTTTCTCAAGGATTTTCACGACCTTTCCGATAAATAGCATACCGACTGGAATAAAAATGTGTGAAAACCATCAGCAACAATAGTATTTAGACATGTTCCGTAAAATGTTCTTTTAAAAGTCCTTTCAGGTGCCTGTATTTCGATGAACAACTTCAATTATATACATGTACAACAAATCAGGGTATGACTGTCTGCAAAAGTTGGTATCAATCTCTGAAAAACTGAAACGAATGGTTATAAATACCTCGAGGACTGAAAGACAATTAAATTCAGAATATTGAAAAATATGATTAAAAGGTCACCTAAGTGAAAATAATACAAACATAAATTTTGCAAAGAATGTCAGAAAAAAAGTGAAAAGGCTGGTGCAGTCGCTGTGTCATCATGTTATGTGTATCTCGGTACTACATAAACTTCCATGTTATCATATGTAACAATCTCGAATTGTATATATCAGTTAGTAGGAAATGAATCAAATTTACGTTTCAAAAATGTATGATCAACTGGAAGTAACAACGATTAATACGTAAGTCATGATTCACTGGTAGTCTTAATCATATAAATCTAGCAGACATTTATTTTAAAACTTTTCTACTCGTATAAAAATTTATTTATTAACAGCCATCAGTTATTCTATTTTCTCTGGCAGCTAAATACTAGTAAATTATATTCCTGCACTAAGCGTGAGACTCCGATTTATAGGAGGAATCGCATCCTCATGCTATGGCTTTAATTTCTCACGCATTTCACATAATTACAGATACATGTATTTATATTTATATAAACTCGCTGACTCACGGTATGCGTTTACTAGCGCATCTTTGAGGCGACCCGAAGCCGCGATCATTTCTCGATTCGAGGCGAAAGATCCGTTGATTTATTTTGTATGTTCATAAGCTGAGAATTTTGCATATCAAAATTAATACAGAACCCCTTGTATTGAAGACGATCATGTAGGATCCTCAATTTGTGTAAATATGATTTTCGGAGAAGCTCGTTTTGTCTGCACATAATGCAGTGCTATGTAGAGCCTATGAAAATAATGAACTATGCATTTTATGTTTGATATCTTCTTATTTTTTTTAATATTGGGTTTAACGCCGCTTTCAACAGTATGAGGGAATTTAACGAAACAAGTGTTTCTCACAGTATAAACTTCTCTTCGGGAATGAATGCGGAAGTTTCGAGGTGAACCTTGAAACCTTTCTAACAGTAAACAATTTAAAGGATAATGTATTAGCAATAGCAATGGCTGTTTCAATCCATGGCCTTCCGATTCGGGGCGGTAGACCACTTTACCGATTACACCGTGGCAACAGCAGAATATTTAAAGTTAAAAACCTGGGGCCGTATTCACAACTGATCTTAAGTTAATTTTTTTACTTAAATATAAGATTTTTCTTATATTTTGAGAAATTTTCTTAGATTTAAGATAATAAGACGCCAGTTTCTTGCTGGTAAGTACTTGTAAAGAAAATATTTGTGTACAGAAAAATGTAAAATGTAGGTTTGTGTGTTGTTCTTAGAGAAAAACATAACCGCTAAACGCTTACGAGTGTTTATTTGGAATGTCACTGGTTTTCGCGAGAATCACTTGTGACTATCACTGAAAATTGCGGATAAGCTACAACTTGCAATGCTTAGCGGATAATTTTAATTGAATAATTTACATATGCCAAATTGATAATGTCCCGTATTACCGATGTGTTTATTGAAAACCTGACACATGCTGAATTGATAATGATTTGCCCCACTGATGATTCGCCCAAGAACGTTTCGCCCCACTATATTGATGTTCACTTCAGATTAGAGACAATTCGTCCTTCTTTAGAATAATCCTTTTAAACGTCCTTTAGGTTATCAAAATAAAGAAATAAAAAGATGAAATGTTTCTTTTGGTAACCGTTTATTTGTGAAAATAAATGTTCTATGTATTTAGCAAGTGGGTTACCATACGCGCCCGTACTGGGTGCCAGAAGTTCTAGCTGTATGTGAGTCACATATATCTAGCCTATACACACTGTTGTGGCTAGCCGTACAGTAGTTTTTCAATAATAGATAAATGCAATGATGAAGTCAGTAATTTGCAGGTCTTATTACATTTTCACACAGAATGAACATACATATTTAAAAAAAATAATATTACCGATGATGTTCGGCCATTTATATTATCATGATGACAAGATATCGAATAGATCCAGCAGGTTTTTTCTCTCTACTTTGGTTATTGGTGCCAGTACCAGACTGATTAGGAAAAAATGCGTTATTTTGACTCAAATTTTTATTAAGCATCTTTTCAGCTACAAGTAAAATTAATCATAATGTATAAAGACAGTTAACATCTTCCAGTGTCCAGGTAGAACTATTGAGTGGTAATTAATATAAATATAATGATTTTAGAGAAATATCATGGCCTGAACAGTCATTTTGAGAATTTTCTCATTAGAATTTTGGAATTTTCATGTCTTTTTACCATTGGGAACAGTACCTTTTTCAAGTAGTAGTTATATTAAGAAAAAAAACACTGTGATCTATCAGAAATAAATTCACCTTTAATTAAAGAGTTTTCGTTAGCCAATGGAAATTCTGTACATGTTATTTACAAGTTTTAATTATTAAAATTACTTTCTCATGATCTACATGTAACTACTGCTGGATATGACCCACAGACTTTAAGGTCAATAATACACTACAGTAGTGTTCTTGTGCAGTCGTGAAAAAACAGGTGTGTTTCATCTTGTATTGGTGAGCAAACAACCAGCTTGTCATTTTCAATGCCCGCTTAAAGCGTTCGAGATAAAATTTTATTACAAATGTATTATAAATATGTTCCATACAAATGATATAATATTGTTTCAGTTTTTTTCTCTTCATTTTGTTAGTATGGTTTAGGTTTCCGCTCATTATCTTGAAAGCAATTTATCACAAAAGTCTTCATATTTCTTATTTTGATTGGTCATAACTATTAGATGACCCCTATTGATTTTGGGTCACTAGTTCAAAGGTTAAGGTCACAGAGGCCTTTTAAAGTCAGAATGGTGTCTGCTCATTATCTTGAAAACTATTTATCACAAAGTCTTCATTATTTTTCTTTTTTTCCAATTAACTGAACTCTTCCAGGTACCCATTTATGGCAAGTGTCTATAACAAAATAACCAATAATGTGTCAAGGGCTAGAAATGGGGGCATGTGTTGTTTGACATTTCTTTTTTAAATTTATTAGTTCTAACTCTAAAAGTTTTGATGAAATATACAAATGGTATTAGTAATTGTAAGTTCCATTAAACGGATATTTTTTTTAGTCTATCTCTTAGTCTATATACAATGTTATCTATGCCAAATAAATGCAGAAAATACCCAAACCATAATCTTTTTTCCATCAAAATGAATTAAAAAATGTTTATTAAATATATTAAAGCTAGGAAAAATCGTCCCTAAAGTGGGGCAAATTGTTACCAAAATACATAGGCACTCTCCGGGATTTAAACCTCAAACTTTTTGATAACAAGGAGCTAAAGGGTTAACGCAACAGCAAGGCTGTTGGAAGTGGCCTATGTATACAACTACATTCACAACATGTTGATTTTTTTTATAAAATAAAATCAATGAATGTCCAGCATTTGCATTCATCAGCCAGTGAGTTTCAAATTTAGTCACTCATTATAGCCTAACATATTGTGCGCCAGGGTTTGCTTTATAAATGATGCTTTGTGACATCTATGTTATATAATTTTTTAAGTATTTTTACTTCAAATAGTTATCTTTTCTTAGTATCTCTGATAATCTCTGAGATCAAACAACAATAAAATGAATAGTTTTCATGCGGTTCATAAATCTTCCAACCACCCCTTCAAATACTCCTGCCTCAT